ATCAATGAATGTGAGCCTTTCTGTAAGTCTATCTGCAAGGAAGGGGAAAAGCAATTAGGTGGAAGTGCTGTGGTTCCATCACGTAAAGATACTAGAATGTTCGATATCAAAGCTTCCACGGCAAACTCTTTGAATGGAACTCAGACGGAAAATTATCTAGATTACTATAATACACCACATTATTGCATCAGTTCTATACAGTAAACATGCAATCGCAAAAAAATTGGTTTATTTCAGCAATAGCTGGCCTTGCCGTTGCTGGTGTCCTAGCACTGTTACTATCGATTCTTGTCTGCTATATGCGTTCTCGTCCCGAAGGTGTCTACAAAACGAACGAAGGCGAATGTAGTCCTTCACGAAGTGAGGAACCACTTGTGAATGGAATGCCGGCTGGTGGAAAAGAATACTTTTGTTAGGCGATTCGAACAGATTTACACTATTTGGTAGCACTTTTTAGTGACCGCATGTTGTGAGGACATTGACCTCAACGTTCCTAAGGAAACCCTTCTGTGATTTCCGATCTCGTCTTTCATCACGTATAATATGCATCCGGGTTGTGTTTAACGACCAATTTCATGTAATTTTCTCTGTATTCCTCATGAAAATCAGCTATTTACGGGTATTTTTAAAGTTCATATGTGCAGTGTGAATCTGTGGAATAAATTATTTATCTCTAAGTATATCATTCAAATCATACAAATGAAATCATAGCGCAGCGTATCAATTTGGAAATCGTTAAAACTTCGATATGTAAGTTCCTTCAAAAAAACGCAAAAGTGCGGAAATCAAGGACAAAAAGGATAACAGAAAAATAAGAGAAGGTTTGAGAGTGAAAAGATTAAGAAGTAGATCAAAGGTAATGAGGAATAAGCCTCACAGATGGCAACTCTTTCCCAAGTTCTTCGGTCTTAGACACCAAGGGAGTTTCGCAGTAGAGGAACCTTTCCAATGAGCACATAGATTTCAGTGCCGGTAGTACGCAGTTCACATCATCTACACGGCATGACCCCAAAGAGAGGAACTTGACGTTACACAAAGTAGCACTGGGCGTCAGTCTGCAAGAAACACAGTATGAAATTTAACGAGAAGAGTTAGTGAGATCGCTTACTTTTCGATAGGATTTTCATTTGCCGTGAGATATTCTAGATTTGGCAGCAAGACTTCATCCAAAGATGAGAGATGATTGCCGCTAACATCTAGGTTCGTAACCAATCCAGCTAACAATTCAACACCGTCCAAGCTGCAAAACAATGCGGTTACATAAACATACTACAGAGAAGATCACTTCAAACGTGATACAAGACCAGATTAGTTAAATCCAATTTTAGCACAATCATACAAAAATAAGAAATGCTAAAGTCAAGATATCAGACAATAATTCGAAGTAAATTGCTTTGAATAACTTGAGCTTGAATTTATGAAAAAAAA